TCAGCAAACTTCACAATGGTGTTGGAGCCATGGGTGGCCACACAGTCTGAAGTGTAGAGGGAGTAGAGCAGTGGCGAGAGGACACATCCCTGAGGTGCTCCTGTGTTGATGGTGATGCTGTTGGAGAAGCACCTGCCCACCCTCACCACCTGAGTTCTGCCAGTGAGGAAGTCCAACACCCACCATCGAACACCTCAGTGGCTTCAAGCATAGCCTTCACAGAGCTGCTGGGTGTATCAAGCAGCGGCTAAACCTGAGGGTATCAAGCTGAGTAACAGTGCTTCTACAGTGTTACTCAGCATGGAAGCACGGATTATATCTATATTTATACATCTGATGCTATATCTCAACCTCATCCTCTTGCTCAAGCTCCATCCCCACCAGAGAGGTGACGTTCTATGTCCCAAGAGTCAGCCTCAACAGCCAGAGATTGGATTGCCAGGCCTTCACTGCTTCGCTGCCCAACACATGTTGCGCCTGACCCATATGTGACCCATGTTGTGCCTTATGTGGGTGGTGAGCAATGAGGAGTAAGAAAGAAATACAGGTTGATCACAACTGCATTAGTGAATGAATTATATTAGCCAATTTTTACTATAATTTGGTGGAATGGTAAGTGGTGGTTTAGTTGAAGCTAAATAAAAAAGAGCTGTGGCTTCACTTTCCTCGTGTTTTAATTTTCTGTGTTTATTCAAAAATAGTAGTACTTTTTACTTAGTTTGCACATTTACACCTGCTTACTAGATCATGTGGCATTATCATGTGTTAACCAGGTACAAACCTGCACAAAAAACTAACATTACAGAATTACATGGATGTAAAAAACTAAACATGGGGACACAGTGGAGTTTGACCAGTTGACCCCGCTCTCTCTCTTTTTCTTTCCTTTAGGCTCTCCACCACCCAGGCAGCGGTGTAGGCGTCATTTAATCTTTTTCTTGTCCTGGTCTATTCCTGCAGACATCCTGCCCACTCATTCTGCCTCTCTTTCCTTTCAGCCCCTCACTGATGATTAACCTCCCTCCTTGTCGCTCGCCCACGCCGCTCGTTCTGATTTCGTCATAGCGGCACGGCTGCAGTACGCCTGCTGTCAGGCACTTCACACAGGCTCTGGAGGGGAAAAATTGATGATGGGTTCATTGGAGTCAGTTATAATGGAGGCTAATGACCAATGAGAATGTGTCCAGGCTGTGAAGTACACACTTGAGGAACAAATGTTTAATACATATGAATGTAAGAAATGAAGAGATGTTGTTCCCTTTTCTCCTTGAAAGAATATAACAAAAACATAGAAAGACTAAAATGAATTAAAAGTCCTATTCTGAAACATTTCCACTGAAAAGACTTCTTCCAAAAAACCTCAACGATTGCACAGTTGTAGACCGTTGATATATACACATGTACACACACGCACACACAGAAAGTACATTGTGTTGTCATCCTTGCTTCCTGCTCTGCTGGACCAGCAGGATTTGGCCCACTAAAATGCCTCCTGTCTACTTTAACCTCATTTGTGTAACAGATCAGTTCATTCATTCAATTAGCACACACTCACACACGGGCACCTGCACATGCACATTCACTCATCGGAAATCTATGGCTTCCCAATGCAATTGTTGAAAAGTAAACTGACTCCCATAAGTCCCTTGCAATTGAGCTTTCTGATCAATAGGAGCCCTTTAATCCATAGAAAGATTTTTTCTGTCCTGTCGAGAGAAATGTTTGTTATAAAAAACAGCTAACTTTACCCCAAAATGGCTAAACGTGTTCCTAGTGTTTAAGTTATATTTTATGTGATATATGTATGTGTGTATTGGTTGGCTCATAAATACGCATTCTGTAATTGCATAAGTGGCTGTTACAGGAAGACAACGAGTCAGTACACCATCCACATACAGATAAATGTCAGAGCTGAACAGCTGGTGCTCAGCACAGTGTCACGCCTTATCCAGTAATTTGCTCATCACATATTGCATTGTAGCTAATAGTTGATCTCTAGTAGACACTGCATGTAACCTAATTCATTTTTTTCAAGTATTTTTTGTAGACCTGTTCACAACAACAGTCATCCCATTATCGGTATGCTGTAAGATAAGACAATGCAATATTTTGGAAAACCAAATATTGTATATATTGTATTCCTTTAAGCAAACACGTGCAGAGGTGGGGAAGAAGAACTCCCTTAGCACCAGATTCAGAGAGGAGCAGCCATCTGTTGTGGACAGTTGGGGGTTGAGGGACAAGAAAATACAGAAAAGACATATATATTTACTACACTATCCTATGTCAATGAACAGTTTTTTGCTGTCATTGGTAGTTGCTTCAGTTCTTCATCCCAAACTTAAGATGTGTTTTACCTGACACCACTCCTCATCAACACAAGTGACAGAATTGTTATTAACATGCCAAGGATAAATGAAGTCAATTACTGTTTCTTAATGTAAAGTTGTTTTCACACATGAACTTCTGTCAATTTGTGGAAAATCAGGTTGGAACACTTTCCATAGATGCCTTTCCTCACATTTAAAGAGTCTCCCTTTACAGTATTGCATATACGCCATGTGGTGAGGGAAAGAGAGCTATCTAAGTAGAGTATGCAGTAAGTCAGAACTAGAGTCTTCAATGCTGAAATCTAATTTTGAAATAGATGATTGTAATTTGTGTCACCTGAGGGGTTTTTTACAGAGCAGCTGAGGTGGCGCAGGGTTTAGGAAGCCTTCAAACACTAAGGAGCTATGTTAAAAGATAATTCTAAGTTCTTTCAATATGGACCCTATATTACTTGCTACAAATAAGCACAATAACATGAACAAGGTTTATTTTGAAGAAATTTAAATGAGAACAAACAGTTACATCACATACCAAACTAAACACATTTCCTGTTTTAGCACTCTCTTTGTCTATTGGTTTTATTGTTACATGCTCAGTGTTATTGTAATGCCTGCTTCCAAAAAAGGGAGCTATATCACTGTCTTTTTTCCGTCCACATATACAGTAGGTTTGGATATACCCAAAGGCTCAACAGTGGATTGTGAATTATCACTGACTTTGATGTGGTGTTGTTCTGTGTTTCTGAATTACAATTTATACTGGAGTGCAATGTTATACTAGCTGAGCATGGACAAAACTATAATAAATTTGATTTTTTTTTTATTGTGTAGTAGATGTAGAACCAGTATTACTTGTTGTATTAATATTTAATAAAGGGATAGTAGCATGGTACCAGTGTACTGTATTTAGTTTGTTTAGTTTCAGTCTTCTTTCTTTGAGCTTTTTGCAGGAAGGAGGTCTGGAAGCTGCAGGCCGGCTCACAGGTCCTCTTTTATTCTCTGCCTCTCTCTTTGCTCTGACAGATCCGTGCTGATATCAGATTGATGGGCCGGTTTGATTGAAGTCTCTTTGTCGTGCTAATGTCACCGCGAGTGATGGATGAGGCAAATGGGCCAACTCAACGCGCGTGCGTGCAAACTCGACTCCAGAACCGAAAGAAAGGGCCTCTCCCCTCCTCCCGTACACACACACACACACACACACACACACACACACACACACACACACACACACACACACACACACACGGCTTCCCTCGCTCCCGTGACCAGCTAACAAACTTCTGGCCTCCGGTCACCATAGGCGACGAGCCACGTGACCTGCCATGGAGGTAAGAAAAGGAGTGACACGGTAAAACGGAGAGAGGGAGACAATTGAAGAGCAAGAGCCAGAGAAAATTGAAGAATTTGAAGAAAAAAGACAGACTTTAGGAAGACTGGGTGTAACCTGTGTGAAGCTGAAAATGTGACTGTATTCTTTTCAGTCCTCTCCCGTTGTTTTCCACTGTCACTGACGAGCCTTTGAAACACAGGTTGAGTTACTGATAGAGTAGGGCCTTTAAAACACACACAAACTGCAGCAGACCACATGTGTTTCTGGTTTGGAGAAGTAAAGCCTTCGCATTTTTTCATTCACATTGGAAATGTCTACAGTTTTTTATTTGTAATGTAATTTTGTCGCGACTTTTTTTTATTACTTTAAGGGTTTTTCAATTAAAAAACCAACACGATTTTTGTACTGCTTTTTGCACACAACAAGGAGATTCTATATCATACTGCCGACTATAGGAACAACTTTCAAATGGATTTTTTAGTTATTTGATTTTTGCTTTTCAACGAATTTCTATTAACCTCGGTCGTGTTTCTTGCTGATAACAAGTCGAGACATTTTACCAATTCCCTGGTGCTTCGAGTCTGCATGGACAACATGAACTCCTTTGTGGAATACTCTATTTGTAACCGACAACCAACTGGCATTTATTCTGCGCCTAAATCTGGATACCACCATCATCACCTGCACCATCACCTTCCCCTAGATCAGCGTCAGGGATTCCCCGTGAGCATCCAAACAGGCCTCAGCGGTTCTCCTGTCCCCGGGTCCAGAAATGACAACAGAGACGTAGGAGCGAGTTATACCGCGGATGGAGGGATGTACGTGGGCGTTGGGGCGGACACCGCCAGCGGAGGAGTAAGTCAGCATCATCAGCAACATCCTCCTCAACATCACGAACAGCATACGCACAGCGGCTACCAACATCCAACACATCACAATCACCCTCAGCTTCACCAGAGCCAAAGCCTGCAGAGTGTAATACCTTCTCCTTATAGTAACGGCTGCAACACGGGGGCCTATGTGGGCCAGGCATGCACCACAAACTCGGAGTATGTTGCTGCCACAGGCGCACCAAACTCCGTCCATCCGCAGTATTTCATGGAGGATTCTTTGGCCTCCACCTACTGTCATCAATCAAGCTTCCACAACTCGGCCTCAACCGTCGGCCCCAGTTACAGCTCTCTTACCGGGGTCTACTGCGGGCCTCAGCGCACCCTTGCTGGGTCACAGTACCCGCAGCAGATCGGTGGGGGGGTTCTTGACGCAGGAGGCTACCTGGAGCTTTCGCCTGGGGGAGGCTACGGGGAGCTGCCGGTATCTCAGGATCGTGAAAGAGGGGACGATGAGGTCCAGCAGGCCGGGCAGGGGCAGACCTTCGACTGGATGAAGGTGAAGAGAAATCCACCGAAGACAGGTGAGAGAGGGTTCACTTATCCGTTTAACGTCTTAATAAAACCTTATCGTGAGATTAAGTCTGCAGTCCGTCAAAAGTTTCGTATAATATTATGGCATGTTTTTCATATGAAATGCAGTCAAAAATAAATGCACGAATAAACAAACAGAGCGGGGGAATTCGTTTTAAGACGGTCAATGAGGAGTGAATGTAGCTTGAATGCAGTCAGGAGCATAATTTGTAGATCAGAACTTTATGGTACAGAGAACAACATTGTTTGATCGAAATGATTTTTACAACATTATTTTATCCTTTCAGAGAAAATACATCATATTTTTACTACTACTTTCTTTGTGCGGATGGCAGGCTTTTATTTTTTTTATTATTATTTTTTACTTATCTTAATTACTCAATTCGTCAAAGAAGAGGAAAGAGAGAAAGAAAAAAATAACAGTTGTGGTTTTCCAACATAAATAAGGCCCATAATGAATTACAGCAATTCGTTGATGCGAGCACTTAAAAAGAAGACAGAAGTTCCCATATAAAAAAAAGATTGCTCGTTAATACCATCCAGCACGACTAATGGTCACAGATAAATTAGGCCTTTAAATAATTTCACTTTAAATAACTGGTAGAACAGATGTTGAAAAACTGATATATGAATAAACTGTATTTTTATTAACAGAGTGCTTTGTTGCATTTAGGAACGCTTTGGACTTTATTACTGTGACACAGTTAATTGAATGGCACTAAAAGTACAAATCAGAGTCGTTTTCGGACTTCACTATGCAGTCGTATCTGTAGATACTTTGGTCTGGGTCAGCTGAGCCCAGGAGTGTGAGCTCTCTCTCTCTCTCTCTCTCTCTCTCTCTGTGTGTGTGTGTGTGTGTGTGTGTGTGTGTGTGTGTGTGTGTGTGTGTGTCTTAATGATTACAGCAGACAGGTTATTTCTCCGTTGGAAGTCTTTCCTGCTTTGTTATCTTTAAAAGCAGCCCCTCCATTAACCAGCTCCACCACCAACACTGACACCCCCGTGCTGCTTCTCCATCCCTCCTTAGGCCCACTGATGTCCTTCACTGCTTGTGTTTTTTAAACCTCATCTTTGTGATGCACTTTGTAGTTATTTTGATGTAATTTAATAAATTATGGATATCAAACCTCAAACCAAACTCTGACTAAAGCTAAATATATCTCTATTTTCTAATTAATAACGAACACATCTAGCTCCAGTAACAACGAGCGTTTTTCTCATTGCACGTACAAGTAAAACATAAAACATTCGTCTAACAGCTTGACCATCTCTTTCGCAGTCAAAGTGGCCGACTACGGTCTTGCCCACAACAACGCCATGCGCACCAACTTCAGCACGAGGCAGCTGACGGAGCTGGAGAAGGAGTTCCACTTTAGCAAGTACCTGACGCGAGCGCGGCGCGTGGAGATCGCCGCCACGCTCGAGCTCAACGAGACGCAGGTGAAGATTTGGTTCCAGAACAGACGCATGAAGCAGAAGAAGCGCGAGCGGGAAGGCGCCACCGCGTCTGCGCGGCCATTCTCCTCCTCTTCCGGTACGGGCAGCAGCTTGAACAAGGAGCTGGAAGACACTGACCGCTCTTCCGCGTCTACGTCTCCAGGCGCGTCCCCGAGCTCGGAGACATAATCTGGCTTTGTACCACCATCAACCCATTCTTAAAAGACTGCCTGTTGAACAGATTTTCTAAGTCCCAGAATTCTATAATGGCTGACCACCCATTCAGATGGACTTTTATGCCTCATGTACATGAACATGGAGAAAATAAGTTCTCAGTGCATTTTAGGGAAAGAAAAAATGTATATTAGTGACATAATTGACAGTTACATACAGTAAGTGCACTGATTTGACAAACTAATGGCACTTATGCCATGGAGATAACAGAAAATGCATAAAAATATCTGATTATAGATTTTGATACAAACTGGATGAGGGGAGCAGTTAATGTTGGGTCTTTTAGTGAAACTCATTCATGTAGATGATGATAATGACGATGGCATCATCTTTATATGATCAATCTTTCAGTCTGATGGGGGGGCGTACAGTTCTTTTGTTAATAGTTTAATATTGTTTTGGGGGGAAAAATCTATTTTAGTCATTCTGTTATAGCATTTAACTTTCTATATTTAAAAAAGTCAATCCCATAAAATTTGCTTTTACTATGTCACTAAAACTCACCTAAAAGCCTTCATGAATGCTGCAAATGTAAATGATCTCGGGGAGATATATACAAAACTGTGAAGATGATGATGTGGGTTCTGAGCTATGTTGGTAACACAGGAAGCCTAATGATGAGAATATAGTGCTATCTGGTACACTTTGAACATACTTTTTTCCCTGTTTCTTACTGTTTCTAGTGTTGGCCTACATGTGTCTTCCTATGCAGCTATGGTCTTTGCACTATGTGACTACAGGGTGACACTTTCAGACAGAAGATACATGAAGCTGGAATGTTATGTTTTCTTCAGGTTTTATGAGCATTTACAAAAGCTGTGATTCTTCTGCAGTCTGATTTAGAATATAAACATGTCAGTTAGATTCAGGTTAATGTAGAGTGTTTGTTTGTGTGAACTTAAAAGGACAGAGTTTAGGGAAACTACTGAACTTAAGATGAAGAGTGGAAGTGTTTAATTTTTACTGACTGGGTCCTTGCCATTGAGAATAACTTATTGGATGTGTTGTTTATATTTCTGATTCTAGATAATATGTGTGTGTGTGTGTGTGTGTGTGTGTGTGTGTGTGTGTGTGTGTGTGTGTGTGTGTGTGTGTAATAGGGGGGTAATGTTCCTTTTCCAGACAAAATGATTTCACATAAAGTGATTCACTCATAAATATGACTTTAGAAAAATAAAATTGTGTTTGGAATCTCCCTTCGCCTGTACCCACTCCAGTACCAGATAATTTTATCCAAGCAGATCATGTTTACATTGTTCAGGAGTCTGTTTTCCTGAACAATGGCTGGGTTTGATGTCAGCCTGTACCCTGAACTGACAATGATGTGACTGATTTTTTCTTATATTGTTTTTAAATGAGAACAGGGTTCATTTTAGTTCTGCTGCCTTGAAGAGACTCTCAGTGATATTTCTGCCTCCTTTTCTACTTTGAGCTACCTCATAAAATTATTTTGTTGATTAAGAGTTGATTCTTTGTTTTTAAACTGACCGTGAAGTGTCTAATGCATGCATGTCAAATTCCTTTTAATTAATGGAGTGCACACAGCCCAATTTGACTTCAAGTGGACCAAAAAAGTGAAACTGTTGCATAAAAATCTGCAAAAAAACCCTCCAAAAGGCTTAATTTCATTCTGCTTTCAGATTGAATGAACGGTGGATTTACAAAACAGATGATATACAGCTTGTTGTAAGAAAAATATGTCCTAAATTCCATATATCTAAGTTTTTCCACATCTAGTCAGTCTACTCGCACACATGGAAAAAATGAAGCCCAAGAGGCCATGAGAAGGCTATAAAACTGAAGATAATTCAGCTCTGTGGCTTGGAAAATTTTAAATAAGCACTCTGATGACTTAATGACTTGTAACACACTGCTCTCTTTTGAAAATACAGTAAAACATTCCAAAATTCCTCTATTTTCACACATTGGAAAATCATCTAGAAGGTATGCTTATACTCTTTGGCTGTTATTTGGACACATTGGCCAAACATTTGATACCAGTATGTGTATGATATGAATTGATTGGTTCTTCACTCATAGATAATACTGTTTTGTTTTTGTTTGTTTGTTTGTTTGTTTGTTTATTTGTTTCAATTTTAAGACTGTATCAGAGTGCTGAATACATCAGAAAAGTCTCAGGAAAACCACTTAAAGGTATGAAACTGGATTTCCATCTGTCTAAACTCAGGAGATGCCAGAGGTCCACATTTATGTTTAATATTGTTGTTTTTGATTTGAGGAAACAATCCCACCAGTGTTCTTATTATTTCAGAATGCATCATGTGTGTTACATTCATAAATTAATTAATAACAATTTACTGTACCAAAAGAGGACAGCCCCTAGAACCCAAATGACTGCGCTAATCCAGTAGTTAATCCCAAATCTGTTTCCATAATAGCTAATTCATGAGCCAAGAGGAACGGGAAATGCAGTGCGGAAATGGATTTTCAGATGAGGAGTGGAATCACCATTTTAAATGTCAAAAATAAATCTTTGATTCCTTTATCCAATTTTTTTTTCTTCATATATTTAAAAATCAGGTTTTTTTTATTTAGAACTCAAAATTGCCTTTTGAAAATCTGTTTTCACTGAGAATTATTTTTTTTTGAATGAAATTCATTTTGGATTTAAAGTATTTATTAATGGATTAATAATTCATTTTGAAAAAATTTGAATGATAAATAGTGTTTTTATTTTAAATTAAATTATTTAAGTAAATTAAATGAATAAAAATGAATTTGTAAATTATCCATCCATCCATTCGCTTCCGCTTATCCTTTTCAGGGTCGCTGGAGCCTATCCCAGCTGTCATAGGGCGAAAGGCGGGGTACACCCTGGACA